TACGGGTTTACCAGTTATCATATGGAAAATATCTCGCTACAAAGCGGATCATGTTGAGTTAACGAAATGCATGCGTGCAGTGATAGAGACATGGCCTGAATATAAGATTGACCACAATCATGTTGCAGTCCAGATACCCACTCGACCCTGTGCAACATCGGCCGCCTGTCAACAAACACAAGGAAGGTCCAACGTCGGAAAACTACAATCGCAACAGACATCCGAATAGTTCTCTACACAACTAGATCTGCTCCCGAGTGCAGTCATTAGCAAATCAACATAACGGAACGGTGAAACGACATTTCTGGATACCTACAGATAGCTGCAAACGAAACTATTGGTTTTCAGAAAGCTCAAAAGAACAGCTGGTATATGAGTAGGCAGAAAATACTGCCTACTTTGCAATGCTGAGATTGACCTCGTTGACTCCTGTGTGGAACAGATTCCGAGGCCTAGAAAAGTTGGTCGGCAGGTGTAAATATCGAAAATGCCATCAATAGTTTCGCTGACTTCCAAAGGTTTCAAGACAGAAGAATTCACACGTAGTAACGGAAAAGTTTTATTGAGTTTGTTTTTCGTGATGGACAACAGAAAATGGCTATCGATGATTATGAAAAAGATGTTGCTTCATCAGCCTATGATAAAGTTTGAACAGCGATTGCTGATGAAGAAGAAAGAGAATCGTTTGAATCTGGTAATTATTGATGACACGACGAAATATCTGCTGTCATCAAACAAGATGTTGGCATTTTCCTGTCTTGGCACCCACGTAACGGTTGACTATAGTAACATTGAATTGCTATTAACTAGTGGTAGCATTCCCAACAATGTCAGTCCTGATAGCCACAGATAAATCATTGCTGGTGTGAGCTGTGACTGTGGACTGAGTAATCAATTGAAAAGTAAAGTCCTCACCCGATATGCGAAGACAAATTCCTCCCCTCCAAGCTCATACTGCCATATATGCCTGAGACTTGGGAGACGAGAACAAGCGACGAGTCTGGATTAGAAGTTTTAGAAAAAATGTTTTAGCGGATGATTTTTCCTAGTGATAACGGGACAAGAGTAACGGAATATAAGACGACATTTATATAGTTCAGCCAACTAAGAGTCAATGTCCACTTCAGAGAGGTCCTGTAGTCTGGGTGCTTAAAAATACTCCAGATTAGAAAGTATTCGATACGATAAAGACTGGTGTAAGCAGAGTAAGCCATAAAGATCAAGTAGAAAAGGAACTGGTTTAACTTCATGTCTCCAATTGGCGCCAAAGCGCAAGACGAAGAAACAACCGCCTGCTTTCGTTAATTCAGCAGTAAACTCGCTAGCGGTACCTAACGCAATCAAGAAGAAGAATAATATCAATCGCCTTAACATGTGACAACGCTACAATAAAAAAATTACCTAAAGCCAATAAAAATCATTCAATAACAAGGAATAAAATTCATATTTCTCAAAATGTTTACGGTATACTTCAAAAACTCATATCGCCCGTTATTATCGGCACCTCAAATCATTACTCGAGCATAAGCAAAGTATTTTATTACTTCATAAAATAAGCTCATAAAAACATCCCCACCATACTGGGATACACCGCGCTCAACATAAGTACGTGACAAACCTGCAATGCGAAACACAAACTTACATACCTAAATATCAAATTGACTTATCCGAGCCATATAACGGTTTGTCATTGACTTTGACTATTAAATTTGTGTTTCGATAAACGTTTTTGCCCAATGGCCTTGACCTTTACTGCCACTGCTGGCAATCATAATAATAATGAACATCAATCGCCCTGAAATGCGGTAAAGCACAGATTGCGAATGGCGAAAGACAAATGGCGAATGAAACGTAGAGTGAAATCAAATGAATGCAAAGTGGAAATCGTAAGAAGAATTTATGATTTTTACATAATCGGCGTTAAGTGTATGAGCGATGAAGAATTTATGCGAAAAGCAATGTGTCAATCGAAATTGGTTTGAGATTTGTCCATTAGAGTAGTGGAGGGTGTGCGCAGGTGAGAGGAAGAATGTGCTGTAGGCGAAACAATTTGCGTATAATATTCAAATAAATTTATATAAGTGTATAAGCATATATATTTAGTATGCGTATCAAGTTATCAAGCTGCAATGGCGTTATGATAATGAAAATAATCAAATCATTTGTTGTTATGATATGTTTTTTTCTTCTCAAAATTTCTTGCCTTCAAATTTCATTTTTCTTTATATTATTTTTATTTATTTATGTTTTTCTGCAACGGTCCATAGAAATTTTGGCTATTGACTTCAACGCATACCATCCTTTTCGCTTTGCCTAAGGGTTTACTGATAATTTTGGCATTTTGCCTTGCTAATTTTTCATTTTAAAATTAAATTTATGCGCAATTTCACTCTGGCTTATGCTGTATTTTATCTCTAAAGGGTTTTATCATTTTTATTATTTATTAATGTTAATTTTTTTTATTTTAATTAATTTTACTTGATTTTATTTTAGTTTCTTATTTAACTTAATTTCATTTTATTTTGTGTTTTTAATTTTTTTCTATTCGAATTTATCTCGTTTTTTTTGTTCAATAAAAATCTTTTTATATTATTATTATTTTTATCACATTTTTTTATTTTTTTCGATTAGGTTTTACTATAATATAGCTTATTTCGTTTTATTCTTTTATTTAAAAACTTGTTTCGTTTCATTTTAATTTAACTTATTTTATGTTATTTTTTATTTTACTTTATTCGACAATATTTCATTTCAGTTTATTTTATATTATTTTCTTTCATTTCATTTAATTTTATTTTATTTCATTTTATCTTATCTTGTTTTAGTTATATTTTATTAAAGATTATTTCTTTTTTTATTTTCTTTCACTTCATTTAATTTTGTTTTATTTTTTATTTTATTTTATTTTATTTTATTTTATTTTATTTTATTTTATTTTATTTTATTTTATTTTATTTTATTTTATTTTATTTTATTTTATTTTATTTTATTAACCGAAGAAAAACGATAATATATAGCGAAATTTCTCTTTGCTAGTGCGCATATTTGACGCACGCTCAAACAACATTTTATTAACCAATGTTAAAAATATTCGAAAACTTTTTTAGTACGAAATATCAGCTTTCTAATGCCGGCCAGCGAAACCCGATCGAAATTATACAACGTGAGATACAGTTAAATAACGCCATCTATTGGAAAAAAATCGATTAATTTTTACCACACCAATATAAATGTATTGTAGATTTAATATATGTATATTTCAGCTATTAAACATAATAAACATTTTTATTTCATTAGTTTTGTATTTAATACTTCATTTGAATACTTAATTTTTTTTTAATTTTTTCAGACTTTTTTATTGAGACCTGCTAGCGGTGTAAAAAAAACAGTAACGAACAGTAGCACTGAGTTTTTGCACCGGCAAAAACATCAAAATATGCACAGATTAGAACAGCTGCTGAAAATTGAATTCATTTTTGCATATTTTAATTCTACTACCACACTAACAATTGATGGCGATAGCTGCCGTTTTAAAAGAATTTGCATAAATAAATAAATAAATAAATCAACAAATGAATGAGAGAATAAAAAGAAAATTATGCATTTGATAAATAAATTTGATTTTAGTGAATTGAAATTGTAAGCATTGAATGACTTTTGAATTTCAATAATATATTTTTGGAGCATTGATATACATATGTATGTAGTTTATTGGCAATTCGAAATTTCAGTCTCGATTGCATGAAAATTTTTGAATTTTTTGTGAAAATATTTTTAAGGAAAATATAAATTCCTTCTTTCATTTATCTAGAATCGCCAAAATTATTCGAAGTGCCTAATTTAGGTATACATAGATTAGCTGCACATATGTATGAGCATAAATAATTTGAAATTTTTATAGGAGTTGTCGTCGTTTGGAAATTAAAAAAAAGTCTTACTGCAAGGAATATTGGTTTCTAGAAGCCTAGCATATGATAATATTTCTATTTCTATGGAAAGTTGCCATCAATAAGAAATTTTTTCAATTACTTTTATTAAATTAGATTTGGAAAGTTTAGAGGCGAAAAATACATTTCTTGAATACAGTAAAATTTATAAGAACAAAAATTAATTATTACATCCTTGTAGAGCTCGTAAATTGTTGCTGTAAATTAGTCCAACATTTTAAGTGAAACTCGCGCAAGTCTAGTTCCCTGACTGGTGAATATCTACACCTTAATCTACATACAACTTTGAACTGGAAGAAAAACTATGTTCAAGAGAGTCGTCCGCTCAAATATGGGACTCAAGTTCGACAGTTTGTCGCAGAGTCGGCCATACCCATCGTTCTCGTACTGCTATATGATGCGGAGGCATGTACGACGACGACATCTGATGAGTCGGCGTTAGTTTTCGCGAGAAAGGTTTTGCTTAAGATGTATGGTCGAGTTGAGTACGAGGTGGGAATGATGAAAGCCGCAGCCATTGGAATGATGAGTTGTTCGAAATAAACGACAATTTTCACATACTTCAGCAAATCATGAAACAGCGACTGCGCTTGATAGGCCATGTAGCTCCTTTGGATAAGAATACTCCAGATTTGAAAGTTTTTGATGCCGGTGAAGGCAGAGAAAGAGGAAAACCACCAGTTGTTTAACCAGGACTCAAACCTCGGAAATGACAGTATGCAATACTAACCACTGGGTTATTGCAGAGAGAAACATTTTCATGGAACTGATTTTTTTTTGTGCAATTTTAAAAGGCATCGGGCAGCACTCACAGTTTCCCTAGATACCTCTGTATATAAAATTTACGGTAAACAATCCAAAAGATGCGACAAAACAAATTTCATACCTTAATTTTAGGACAAATTGCACTTAACGCATCTACGTAAATCTAAGTTAAAGTATAATTAATAACATTGTAAATAAATAAATTAAAAAAAAAGATTTGACGATTTTAACAAAAAATTAAAAATTAAAAAAAAAAAATAAATAAATGGTATCATTATTCATACTTACACATGTTTTATTTACAAACATAGTACCGCCGGTTGCAAACACACATACGGACACCAAGGCTAAACAAAACGAGAACGGTGTGATGAGTGTTGGTGTAAAAATGCTATCCTTGACGCTCTCCTCATCCGGTAGGCCAGCGAATACGCTGCCACCACGATAAACATTACCAAATTGTTGTTGCTCAGCCGCGGCTGCAATGCGGCGTTTGCCCGCCGGTGAAGCGTTAATGCAACCGCCTAAAAGAAGGAAAAAATCAAAAATTAAAAAAAGTGACTTAAGTCACGTACATGCGAATGAGTATGTTTGATGATGCCTGTTTGTGTGTATTTACGTATGTGTGAACAGTATGTGATTTTCTATGCAGCATTGTATGCATTTCGATGCCCTTATATACTAAGAGTTTGCAACTTACCCGTATCCTTATCACAATGACAGCACGATTGATCCTCCGGTGACGCATCGGTGGGACAACAGGGTACACACTGATTATTCAAACGATCCAAATTCAATGGGAAAGCGCACGTTTTGCATGAATACTGGCCGGGGCCAGAGCAGGAGCGGCACGAGTCGTGGCAAGTTTTGCACGTTTGTGTGGGTGAGTCATAGTACTGTGACCCCAGGCACTCCATGCACAGACCACCGTCGAGCATGAAGTGCAGCGGGCAGGATGTGCAGGCCAAAGGACCAGCGCCTGTAATGAGAGGGTGAGTAGTTAGAGGTGGAAGCATAAAAGTGAAAAGCGAAAAATGTAAATTATTAAAGAAAAATAGCAAAAAGACGAAAAGAAAGAAAAATACTAATATTTCCATGCATATTTTTTTTTCGGTAAATCCGAAACTACTCAGCTAGAAGAATTGCCTTTTTTCTTACATATACATACATACATATGTACATAAAAATAGAATATAGAATAATAACTTACCGTTACAAGTTTTGCAATAATGATGACACTTTTGACAGCCAAACTCCGACTTGTAGAAACCCTCCGGACACTCGGGATGACATTCGCCGCCCGCCAACTGCCAGCCAACCGGACACTGTACGCATTGATCGCGACGCGGTCCACTGCAGGTGTGACAGCTGAGGTAACACTTCGCACAGGTGCCACGGTCGCTGTAATAGCTGCGTGTAGGAGAGAAAGAGAAAGAGAGAGTGGGGGAGAGAGAGAGAGAAAGAAACAAAAAGCAAATGGAAAGAAGAAAAATATAAAAACTTTTAGCACTTGAGTTTGCTGAGAAATAATCTCAAAATTTTGAATTATTGAAGAGACGCGCGGCGGTGCAGGAAGTTGGCAACTGCACGTGTTCGACAAGTGGTGAAGGCGTTATGTGTTTTTATGTGTGCGTGCGCGCAAATGACAGCTGGAGGTGTGAAAAAGTTATCGTTCAATTTTCTTTTACATTTTACGGTGTCATTGAAGATTGTTTGTTGTGTCATGTTGCTGCTGCTTATTTTTCCATCATTTTTTTTTTTGTAGGTTTAGTTTTTATTTTTTGTTTAACTGCTTGTTAGCGCAACAAGGCACACACACACACCTCTAACTTTAAAACTTTTAATGGCAAGACAACCTTCACGGATTTCTAGGCACTTGTTGTTGTTAATTTAAGTTTTTTGCCTCTTGCCGTTGTTGTTTTTAAATATTTCAATAGTTTGAAAAGTGCATGGGCAACGTTAATCGGCAGCACTTTCGAAACATGACAAGTGGAAAAGCTTTTGCTGAATAAAAAATTACTTTAAAATAAAAAAGGGAGTTAAATTAAGAACAAACGAATTTAGCTTAGGCTCCTGTGGCATGCTAAAATTGTTTTGTTTGAAAATGCATGGTCATTTAGAGTGATTACAGTTTTCAAGGAAAGTAAACCTAAACAAGATTGCAAGAAAAAATATAGAAGAATTGAATTTAAATTTTATTAAAAAAAATTAAAAAAATATTAAAAAAAATTTCTTCACATTTTTGCACATCAAAAATAAATTTTTTATTAATTTTCCTTGCATTATAGATATTATTTCTTTTTTCTATTATTTATATTATTTTTGAAATAAAACAACATAATAAATTAATTAAGAAAAGTAGTTTTAAAATTCAAAACTTTCCGGTGAGGTTTGCTTAAAATAATTTTATTATGTAATATTTTTTTATTTAATTTACCACTTGCTAAATCTGTTCATATTTTTTTTTTTAAATTTTTGGAATTCTCTAAAAATGTATTTTTAAAAGTATGAAAAAAATGTTTTGAGCAAAATTAATTTTTTTTATATTTCTAAATATTGGATGAGTGCATAAGTTCGTGCCCGATTCTGCTGGATGTCATTCGAATCGTTTGAGAGTGGCGCTCGTGAAAGAAATATATACATATTATATATCGTTGGAAAGGTGACAGTCCGAACTGTAAATCAAACTAATTGACCAGCCCAAAATGTCAAAAAGTATTCTCTTAAAAATGGGACCGGTCCACAAACCGCACCAAAGTGTTGTTTTTCTTGCTTTATTCTTGCTTTTTTCTTGGCAACCCCAGGTTGCTCTTCGTCACGAATTCGGTAATTTTGCTCCGAAAAAAATTCGGCTTGAAAATATTGGATCCTGTTGGAAGGCTCGGGAAGTTCTTGCATAAGCTGTATTTTGTACGGTCTCAATTTAAGATCTAAACGTAAATTGTGCCAAATCGTTCCATACGTCAGTCCGAGTTGCTGCGAATGGTGCCGTCGTCTGTACACGCTCTGCAATGACCGCTATATTTTCTTCACAGCATGCTAGGTGTGTTATATTCGGCCGACTATTATACAGTTATGTATACCGGGTTCCAAGATGGGTGATGATGTTGCGAACATACACAATGTAGACCGATTACTTTGACCATAAGTTGAGCGAAGCGCGCAAAACACATTATTCACAGAACCAGATTGTTCATAACAAAGTTGAACGATTTCTAAACGTTGTTCAGGCTTCAGTCTTTCCACGATGAAATATCAAACAATACGGAATAAAATATACATGAGAGCTTTTCGGGACTCATGCGTGATCTACCAGAAAAAGGCTGTTGAAAAAGTTAACTCTGCTTGAATCCGCCGAAAGTCATATGAGCCTTAATTGTAAGTTTTTAAAACTAAACGACTTTTTGTATATTATTTTTTAAAAATAGGAAAATTTTGAAAAAATGGCTATGCTGATATATCAAAAAGTTGAGTAAATTTTTTCCCAATTGCCATTTGTAGAAAAAGTACAAAGTTTTTACTATAATTAAAATAAAATATTGAATTTTGTTAATATGGCAACTCTTTTCAGAAAATATGGAGTGAACTTGTGAAACCCCTAATAACAAAAAAAAGCTAAATCAAACAAAATTCTACATTAAACATAAGATATCGAGAAATCAAACGTCCTTTAATTTAATATTAATTTTCAGTATCAAAATAGAGCTTGTCCTATTCTTCGCAATATCAGAATCATCCGAAAAATTAAGCCTCGAAACGCATTTTGCGATCATTTTACACATCATGCTGCCGTCAACAACCTTACCTTTCATTCGTTTCTTCGAAAATTACCAAATTGCCAATCCTAACGCGCATTAATGAGCCACCAACATTTCTGCATAACCTGTTTCTTCCCACCCTTTCCCCACGTAATAAGTCTTGTTTTTAATTACCCATCAGCACAGGTTGTACGACATTCGCCGCTCTGCAGCTGCAATCCTTTGGCGCAGGCGGTGCAATTCATTCGTGACACGCATTGTGTGCACGTGTGCAGGCATTTGGCGCAAACACCAGCTTCCATGTAGAAGCCATCATCGCAGCTGCTTACACAATGGCTCGATTGTAGGAGTAGACTTTGTGGGCATGAAAGGCAATTCGATTCGGTGGGTCCATCGCAGGTTTCACAGGTGGAATGACAGGGATGACAGTGATTGTTGTCGTAGTATTCAGCTGCATGTGATAAAGGGAAGAAAAATGAGAGAAAAAGGAGAAGAGAAAAAAAATGGTTAATTAAATTGTTAAATAGTTTTTTACTTTGGTTTTTATCATTTCGTTAATATTTAGTGGATAACATATAAAAAATATTGAATCGAAAACAAACTTTCTTCAAGACTTATATACAACATATAATTTTTTTAATTTGAAAAACGAAAATTAAGGCACTTCATAGTTGACTGGTCCGTAAAGTTTACTTAAGTACGGCAGAGAATATCAAGCTCTTCGAGTGTATTTCTGACATGAGTTGAAAGCTCCTCATAAAAGCTTAACGGCCATTAGGAGGTTTCAAGTCCCTCAATTTTGTGGAAAAACATCAAGTTGTCTATCACAAGTTGAAGGCGTAGTTCGGCTGAAAATCACTTCAGCTATTACAAAGGATCAACTATATAGGTATCAGGACCACAAACGACATTAAAATTTTCAGTCACGTATTTTCTCTTTGCTGGTATCCATCTTTGGCGCACGCTCAAACAAAACTGTCAGAAAAGCTTTTTTAGCATCAAATTTCATCTTTATAACGCCATCTGTCGGAACCCAGGCGAACTTATACAACGCGAACTTATATAACGTGAGATAAATAACGCCATCTTTTGGAAAAATAATGGATTTATTTTAACTACACCTAATATATGTATATATGAGCTTTGAATTCCATACTTGTTTCTTTATCTACATATGCAATTCATTCTCTTTCGCTTTCCTCTATCCCTAATCTTTTAAACATAATCTTCCTTACTTCCTTCCTTAACTACGATAATTTTTATTTCGAAAACTCCCTCTTCCTTTATTTGGTTGAAGAAATCGACCTGTGGCGGAAATGATAAATTTGGAAAATTCCACACAAGTCCAACAACAATTGAGTGCACTAATTTAGCCGAAAGTTTCTTAAAAGCTTGGTTAGTAATGAATCGAATAATACAACAAAATATCAAATGGCTGACTTTGACATAGTGGCAGAGCAATCGCCGTTAAGTCAAGATCCGTTGCTTCGATCGAAATCTAATGAGGTGATGGGGTCATCACCAAAATAATGAAATAATACAAAAAAAAAAAAAAAAATTTAACAAAAGAAAAAAATATAAGATAAAATGAAATAAAATAAAATAAAATAAAATCAATTAATTAAAATAAAATAAAATAAAATAAAACAAAATAAAATAAAATACAATAGTGTAAAATAAAATAAAATAAAATAAAATGAAATAATATAATATAAAATAAAATAAAATAAAATAAAATAAAATAAAATAAAATAAAATAAAATAAAATAAAATAAAATAAAATAAAATAAAATAAAATAAAATAAAATAAAATAAAATAAAATAAAATAAAATAAAATAAAATAAAATAAAATAAATTAAATTACAATTTAATATATTTAAAAAAAAGTTGACTCAATGAACACCTCGAACAAATACGACGAATATGTTGGGATGACAAGCTTCTTATTTAAGCGGGCAGCATAGCTTGCCACTTCAAAAAAAACAAAAATGTTTCTATTACTTTTTATATAAAAGGACAAAATCTCAGGAGACCCCTGTGAAAATTTCATGTCAATCGGACTAAAACTCACTGAGATCCCGTGCTCTAGACTGATTGGGTGGAGCTGTTTATCTCCCTGGGGTCTCCATCTCTCTGAAACTATTTTCCGCACACTGATGTATATCTTTCATAATGCGTTTACTTGCTTAACTATTTGGAAGTTTTTCTAGGTATATTTTGAGTTTGTTTCACAATGTTAACAAAATGGGCGTAGATCGCATAAGTACAAGACAAAATCTGGGAGAAAAGTTTAGTGATAAATCTTGAATCATGAATGAAATATTTAGATAGAACGATGTGTAGCGGTTTTACTCAAAATTCAAATGAAAGTTTTAATCAAGTTGTTTAAAAAATCATTGCAAAACATCTTCAAGCTTACTTAACGACGGTAGAACTGGCTGCAAACACTGCTGGATGTACGTTGAATGAAGTTAACACTGCGCATCTAACTATGCTGCATTCCATGGGAGTCAGAATCTGTCTCCAAATACAGCCATTTATCATATACAAAGCTTGGATAATTATATTCGATCAGAAATAAGAAAAAAAAGAATCGCGAAAATCTGCTTTTTCTCTGCCTCGCAAACCATTCTGTCCCCTTAAGCAAGAATGTAGTGAATGGACTTATTTAGCGGCCCTTAGTCGCGAGTTTGTTTTCTTCTCTGCTGGCTTCTTTGTAGTTATAGTTTATTCCTAAACTAATGCTATCAACTGTGAAATTTCCAATAGTTTCCTCTCGTACAAGTAAAACAAATGTAAGTATGCTGCCGCAGCATAAGCTTGCTAGGCTTCAAAAGAGATCAATCTGTTTCACTCCATGCTGAACAAGGAAAGTGGGGCTGAACACTTTCGTAGCAAATAAATCAGAGATACTGTTATCATAGAATATCAAATGTGAATGTGTCTTGCCAAACTCGGTAAAATTTTTGTGAATTATCGATGTTTAGCTGATCTCCACCACCAGTTTGGATGATAATGGTTTATAAGGCTTTTCTGCTGAAAGCCTTTAGTGGAACAGCTCATCCAATATTTTGAATACAAAACGAACTTATTTTGTTTAAATTTAATTTTCTTCTTTTATAAAACAAACAAACTCGCTGTATTAAAAAGAGCAATCACTGATGCTGCTGTTGCAAGATAAACGACGTAGGTAGGCCATATCATCACACTGGCAAATGAGATGAAAATGCAATTATGATAAGTGAAATGAGTTGACGTGTCGCAAAAGAAAACTCAGAAAGAGAGAAAGAGAGAGAGAGAGAAAGAGAACGGGAGTGAGAACTTATACTCAAAAGACAATGCAGCGCGGCAAATATTTATGCACAACCTGCAATCACACACACACATACACGGCAAGGAAAGTAAACATGTTTTAAATCAGTTGAGGAAAACTGAAACAAAAAGTTGAAATGGCAACAAAAAGAGAACAATGAAACTGATAATGCAAATGAAATGGTGAAATGGTCAAGTGTAATTGCAAATGAGAAAGGGAAAATGTAATTTGACGAATGTAATGAATTGGTGTGCAACAAGAACAAGAGCAGGAACAGCCCATGTTCAGAACATGTAAGGCGGAAGCGAGTGAAACGGCATTGACTGTCCTGCATGCTTGAAGTAAAGTAGTATGTGTGTATTGTTGTTGTTTATGTTTATCGTTTGTGTGCTGCTTTACGCAATTTTATGGCAATCATAAAGGCGAATTGCTGCAACGGCCTATGCGAACACACTCAAACATACACCTGTCAATCTTATAAACGCCCACGTCCACGCACACGCACACGCTCAGACACAAGCCAGAATAGTTTGCCTGCTTGTGTCTCTGGCATATCTACATAGGAAACTCATTTAAATCACAGGCGTAGGAGATGCGAGTCGCAATTTTAACGTGTTTTTAATTTCGCTTTGTATGCAGCGCAAAGAAATTGGTCACAGATGCAAATTGTTGTCGGAGCGAAATGGTAATTGGCGCAATTCTTCTTTAACTTTTTCTTTTTTATATTTTATACACACGTGCCTGATGGGTGGGTTTTTAATGGCTTTTGAAGAGACAGAGGGTTATGACTTTTGTATTTAAAATTTGTTTGCTTGACATTTGGTAACGGTTAATATTTTTTTTACTTGTTTCAATTACTTAAATTTTTTATTTCTATTCGAATTAATAACAAATAACAATAAATACGAAACCAAAACATAATCAAGTAGTACCCAATGAAATAAAATAATTTTGAATTAAAGAAATAATTAAATAAAATCGGACAAAATATAAAGGAATGAAACAAAATATAAAGGGAACTGAAAAAAAAATTATATTAAATAAAATACAACGTAAAAAAGTTTTAATTATTTAAGCCAGATTAAAAATTAATTATGTAATATAAATTATGGTTAAAAAAATCAAAGAGAACTTGAATTATAGAAAATCCAAAATAAACAGATTTCATATATAAAAAAAGAATTTATTAATTTAATAAAATAAAAATGTAAATTGAAATTTAAATTTTAAATGAAAATCAAATTAAATAAAATATATTAAAAAATATAAATTAATAAAAATTAAGAAACCACGTTATAATAAATTTAAAAACTTTTTATTGAAAAATAAATGCTTGAATAAAACAAAATAATATAAAATCTAATAACATAACATATTAAAATATAAAAATATTAAATAAAATAAAATAAATAAAAAACATAAATAAAAACAAAATGAAATAAAATAAAAATTATTTTAATGAAATGAAATGAACTAAAAATTATTCAATTAATCGAACTTAAACAACACCAGAATAAAACCAAAATAAATTATATAAACTAAAATAAAATAGCATTAAATAAAATAAAATGACATAAAATAGAATAAAATTACAATAAAAAATAAATTAAATAATATAAATTAACATTAAATAAAATAACTTTAAAGCAAATAATCAAAATAAAATTAAAAAAAAAAATAAAAAATACAATAACATCAAACAAAATAAAATAAAGTGAAGTTAAATAAAACAAAAGAAAGTGAAATAAGATAAATTAAATCATAATAATAAAAAAATGAAAAAAAAGTTAAGTAAATCAAAATAAAATCAAATAAATTGCCTTAAGGTAAAATATGTGAAATGTAAAATAATAAGAAAATAGGAATAGGATAGTGGAAAAAAAAATTAAAAAAAAAATAAAAATCTAGAATAAAGTTAATAAAAAAATAATAAAGAAATAAAATAAAATAAAAAATAACAAAAAACTATAAACAGCTTGGTTAACTGAAATGAAAAAATAAGGCTTCTGCGGCCATTGAAGCCTTACAAATAATATGCAAATTTAGACTTAGAAAATTTTTGCAAATACTGCAAGTATTGAAAGAGTCATTTGCATTCCTCTCTGCTATCTGGCTAATATATTTTTCGAAAATATTTAATTTAATTTTTTTCCACAAAGCAGTTACAACTCAAAGTAATGACCCGTCACGTTGTCGTGGTATGTATTTTGTCATTATCTGTTATGCAAAGTCATCACCTCTTCTGCAGAATTTACTTGCAGCCTCTCTTTCCTCTCCACTCCTCTGCACTCCACAGTCGCACCTTATGGCAAATATGTGATGCCGCTGGCCACGTGTCATCATGACAAGGTTGTTGTAGTTGTATCAATGATAGTTGCAACTCCAATATTGCAACGTGCTACGAATGTAAGAATACTTTACAATTAGCCAACCAAATGACCAAGTAAATGGCCTTTTTATTTTGCTTTACATCACTGAGATCTGGTCATTAAACTGCAGCAGACCCGTTGACATACCAAACGTCTGCCGGCTGAACTGAACAATATTGTTGGAAACATATATCAACAAAGCAGAAATGGTCAATCTGTAGCTGAATACCCCACCACCCACCTACACCATCAGCTATTCATCAGCTGCTCAACTAGCTGTCTCTTGCACTGACTGGCCATCAGTTTGGTCCGCTTTACTCGCATGCAACTTTATGTTGCTGAGTTCGTTTGGCATGCAAATGAAACTGTCACTTGCCTTGCAGTGGGGGAGGGGAGGGGGTAATTTTTTCACCAACTTGCAGCGTTTTCAGCGGTAATGGCAAAAGAGTGTGTGTCCGGACATGAAATAAAGCTCCTCATGAAAAAACCCATCAGCCGTTTCGGAGGCGGCTTAGTATAAAGTGTAGGTCCCTTCATATGTTGGAAGAACATCAAGACGCAAAACTACAGTCGGCCGAAAATCGCTTCAGCGCTTACAAAGCGCCAATTATATATAATTGATAGGATAAAAATGTGGATTAATGAGGTTAATAAAAAAGTAGGTTTTCGTTGCAAAATATTTAATTATAATACAAATTAAATGATGTTTCGAAAGTAAAATTTTGGGTATAACACATTCATTTTTGTCTATAAAAGCATACAGAAATTTTAGATTTAAAATTTCCCAAGCCAGACAACTAAGATTTTGGGTTAAAATTCTTCTAACTAACATAATAACCATATTCGAGTATACTTCATACATCAACCAATCAACAAAATCATCAAAATCAACGCAAAACATTAATCAGAAAGAGATTTCTAGCAATTAACCCCTCTTTCTAGCAAAACACAAAATTATTTTTTGACGCGATTATTTTCCTTTTGCCTAAAATAATGAATATTCTGCACACACCTCTTCATTCGTCTCCAATATTTCAACCCAGCGCTAAACCCTTTGATGGCGTTGAGAAACCCATCAGAAATGTTGTCAGCAAAAATTACGCGCTAACGGAACTCTGCTGCAACACACTTTGTGCAGCCAAAAGTGTGCAATATGCATACACAAATATATACATTACATAATATATACATTAAATATAAAGGAATGTGTGCATGAGAGACTTGCAGCGATTGCCAGTGATAAGATATCTGCTGTAGCTCTTTCCTGGTGCTACCATGGCGTATACGTGACGGCAACATACAAATTGACTTGTTTGCGTTGCTTTTGTGCAGCCGCAGCGGTCTTTGTTGTTGCATTTCGTATTAACATGTAATATTTGTTCTTGTAACACCGCTCTTATCTGTTAAGTAGGTGTGCACTCGTTACCCAAGGTGTTGCATTTTCCCTGGTTTGCAAGTTATTAATTGTGTACAAGGATAGAGTTGTGGTGTACATATGCGCAAGAAATTGATGGTGGAATTATGGAAATAAAGTAAAATAGAAATGAAAATAAAACAAAATAAATTATAAAATAAAATAAATTAAAATGAAATAAATTAAAAAATTAAATCAAATAGAATAAAATATAATAAAAAAAAAAATTAATACAAAATAAAATGTAATAATTTTAAATAAAATAATATAAAACAAAATAAAATAAAATAAAATAAAATAAAATAAAATAAAATAAAATAAAATAAAATAAAATAATTAAAATAAAATGAAATATAATAAAATAAAATAAAATATATTTAAATAAAAAATGAAATCATAAAAAACATTCATACTATTTATTACTATAAAGTATAATAAAAAAAAATATATAATAAAATAAAATAAAATAAATAAATAAATAGAAATATAAAGTAATATAAAAAAATAAATTAAAGAATATTAGTTTTAAGCAATTTTTAAATTAAATTAAAAATTTTTTAAAATATACTAAGTTGGTATAAAAGAATTCTAAATGAATCAGTTGAATTTTCATTTCTTTCTATAAAATATCAACTTAAAGTATTTCGTATATGACGATTCATGTATTGAGATTTAATTATATTGGAATTTTCAATAGAAACCCAAAGTTGAGAGCTTTATTATTATGTTTTCTTGTAATTGTTTCTTTATGCCCATCCCATCGTATGTGATAAAAACTTCAGCAAGTCTAATTCTACATGTGTATTATGTATATCTATATACATATATGTACATAACATTAATATATATTTCTATACAAATATTTATTTTCCTTTATTTTCATACTTACATTCATCACAATTCTCACTGCCCGTTGTAATACATTTGCCCTTCTTGTTGCGCGTCCAATTTTCATGGCATGTTAAGCAAAAGCCATTGCTGCTACATGTTGCACAACCGGTAGGGCAGGCAACACATTCCTGACGTTTTTTGTCCGCATAGTAACCATCCGGGCAATTGTTTAAACATTTGCCATCAAATGCAAAGCGACCAGAACGACAAGTGATGCATTGCGATTCGGCGGAACCGTTGCAAGTGTCACAAGATGAATGGCATGATGCGCAACTGCAAAAAAGAGAAAAAGGAAGAACAAAGAATAAGAATATTAAAACAACAGAAAGGCTAAGAGAAGTTAAGTTTTCAGATAAGACAAAATCCATATCGAGTAGCCTGAATATATGGAAATTTTTTGTGAAATACTTTGGGAATAAATAAAAAAAAACCGCAAGAGTTTATACTATATTTTCTTTTTTATGCAAAAATGTGAATATAAAATTGACTTCCTGCCATGAGGTGGTATCGTAGATGTCGCTAAGGATCGTGCATTTGTTTGACTGTAAATAATTTATATGCATAAAATAAGGTTCTGTATATGCATGTATGTGTTGGTGTTGGTGCTGGTGCGTGTATATGAAATCATATATGACTTTTGGACGAAAATATTTAATAGCTGTAGGTGAAAAATATTTTTTTTTAAATTTGAAAAAGGAAATTCTGAAAGAAAATTCACCAGTTTCTTTCGTGTACGAGTTGTGTGTGATTTATAAGTTGTCGCAGTGTGGAATTGAAATTTTTTAATGTTTTTTTAAACGTTGCCAACTCTGCTGACATAGTGAAGGTGGCTAAAAATATAGTGAGTATTTTTCTGTTTTCTGCATAAAAATTGCATTTATTTAAGGGAGAAAATTGAGTTTATTTTGATCTCACTTAGTTGTAAGAATGTTAAGCAGAAGAGTGATGTGTATGTATACAGGAGTGGTAGTGCAAGGAGTAAAAACCTTTTGGTGGATTTAACAAACATATATAAGAATAAAATGAAAGTTATTGAAAATAAAATGAAAGTTTTTTATAAATTGGCACAATATAACCGCCGGGAGGAATTAAAAAATAGTTAAAAATTCTATTAGAAGTCTTTAAACAACCCGAACAAATAAATGAACAGGAAAGAGTTTCTGTCTACACTTACGCCGAAACTCCTAGGAAAGGAAAACTCATTGATTTTCGGGGTCAATATTGTATGGGGCATAGTAGTCCATTAACTTCGAAACTTTAAGTGACGATATTTATTTGTTTATGCGAATGTCTCAAATCAAATGTCAAGCTATTAAAAGTTTTTTTCAACGGATTTTACGGTATTGTAAATCTGAATAAGAGGCCATTTAACGGCTATAGTGGTCCGATCTGGTCGGTGCTCAAATGTAAAAATATATCGGCGCGACAATATCTTAAAAGCTGAGGAGCTTGTTTGCTCACCAGAAAACGGGTAGACGGCCATGAATAAATCAACTCAGCTGGTCATTCTGATCATATCTGTATGAATTTTGATGTGTCTGCACCTTTTCTTTTTGGTACTTATGTAACAAACATCGGACCAAAATTATATATATTATAATTGGCGCTTTATAACCACTGAAGCGATTTTCCGCCAACCAAAATTAATACAACTTTTTATATTTATGAAAGATCTAGATCTCATTTAAAGCGAGTGTCTTAAGATTATCATTAACCAGAATTTAAAAGAAAATATATATACGAGTATGTATATAAGTGAATTTTTTCTGTTATTGTTCTCAATGTTTACTCAGTACAGTTTTCGTAATAAACATATAATCTACAAAAGAGACGCTTTATAACCACTGAAGAGATTTCTGGGCGGGCTCCCCTTCCTTTTACTGATGTGCTTCTTGATTTTTTTTACATACAAATGGAGGAGCCATCAGTTTATACTAAGCCACCCCCGAACGGCTGATGGTTTCTTATAAAGAGCTTCTACATAATTAAATTAATTATAATTAAATTTAAAAATCTTTAATTATTCTTCTACATCAATTTCCCCCCTTTCAAAATTTTTTACTGCCGATGCAATGCACTTATGCCAATGCTTTTTCCAATTATCGAAGCATGTGAAATAGTCACGTTCTGGTATGACCTTGGGAGAGCATGCATAAATCGACTCAAGGCGGTGTCTTCGAAGTGGTCTCTTCAGTTTTTGGAATATCCAGAAGTCACATGGTGCTAAGTTCGGCGAATACGGTGATTGGGGAACGATATTCGTGGAATTTTTTGCGAAATGATCACGAAGAATGAGTGCTGTGTGTATTATCGTGATGTAAAAACCACGAAGGCACTTTTAGTCGTTTAGTAAACACAAGCGTAACTAAAATATCAATGATGATATTGACATGAGATTTGGCACCGATATCAATATTAGTGCTACCAACATTAAAGGAAAAGAAATAACCCGAATATCAAATATATAATATATCAAATTAAAAATACACTGTACTTTTTGCTCACAGTAGTAAATTTTTTCCGAAATCTCAAAGTAGAAAAAAGTTTTCCATATCGCTTACATGTATATACATGCATTTATAAATTTATTATTTTTTGCCTTTTCTCACCTAAAGAAATTTACATATGTATGTTTGTACATGTGTCAATGATTTGAATAAGAAATTTCTGGAAATATACCGTCTGATGCATTTCTTTTTCTTGTATTTCCATGAGTTGTTTCTACGTAACGCTGTATGCAATTGCTTTTACATAGACTTGTTTATGCTGCACACATATGCTTATGACAATATCAAAATTTTACTGACGTGAATCTCGCTTAGGAAGAGAAAAGAAAAAATTGAACATGTGCAAAGAAAAATGATATATATATGCACAATTTTTCATACATAAATCTGAGAGTAAAAAACAGCAAACGACCAGTGCGAAATACAATAGTAAAAGCAGACGAAGAATTTAACTGATTTTAAAAAGCCTGAATTTTGATATTTTTACGCTAAAATCTTGGTCATATTATTTTAAGCATTTATGTCTAATGATAAATATTTAAACAAAAAAAAAAAAGGTTTTGGAAAAGCTTTAACTATTCCTTATAAGTAACACTCTTTTGATTGCACAAAATATTTTCTACTGGGCTATACGTGGTACACTTGTAACTCAGACTGTATACGTTTTGAAAATTCATATACACATATATATGTTATATATATAAATATATATAAACATACGACTACCGATGTATAAAATTATCTATGTATTTGCGAGTAAATAAGTGTACATTATATATATACATATACATATATATATGCATGCATGCCACTGTTGCGGTGACAGGATATGTGATATTCAATTTTCAATTGAAAATAGATTGAATGCTTTTTATTCAATTCAATTTGTGTTGAATGGATTTCATGTTCGGAGGCAATAAGCGTTCAATGTACGGTGGCATGGTCGTATTGAGGTAATGGAGCTAAAAATGTTGCACATAAATACGCACATACTGTTGGTAGATAACTACATACAACATCAAGTACAAGAAAAGTAGTAAAAAACAGCGAAGTACAGAAGCGCAATGTATGACAACGAAAAGAGTTAGTGAAAATAAGGTGTTTCATATAAAATGTATGATTTATATTAGATCTAAGTTCTACATTTTTAATAATATATGCTTCTTAGAGAACTATTAATGATATCCAAAAATTAATGACTTTAAACACTTCTCTTTAAAATTTATGGAGATTGCCACAAATGACCATGGGAACGGTTACCGTATAAGGCTCTAGGAATTCACACTGCATTTTAGCCTTTTGATTTTTCTCTCATTTCACACTGACCTTATTCTTCTTTAGTTCAAAAGGATTAGTATTTTAAGGAGAACAAAAGTAAATCCACTCGTATTCAGTAAAAATCTTAAAATATATTCGTTGTGTTCAGGAAATATTTCTCTTTATACAGTTGGCTTTCATGGTGTGTTGCGCTTAAGTCATGTTAACTACCAAGCGTCTTCTGAGGTAATGAGATTAAACTTTTAGGTCTGCATTTAGAGGAATAGAGATGCATTTTTTCTGCGTCGAGAAAAAAATTTTAATTAATCCCTCACTTGGAATGTGGGTACCTATAATTCTCAACTGTATCAGTTGGCTATATTAGGTGCATGTCTTTGCTAAATTATGCCTTAATGTAGGCAACGATTTTCATACAATTAAAATTAGATTTTCTGCAATGTTAATCGGTTATTTTACTTAAGGTCGCATCAAATCTTAAAATTAACCTTCAAGCGGTGCCGTGGTTATTTATACCGGCAGCAGTCGCGCGTAATCGAAATGATATATCAACGAGAATCCGCGCGATTTCTATTAATCAGGCATACGTAAATTGGTTGAACGTTGGGAGTGGATTGCCGAACATGATGGTGAATAAAAGTGCTTTCTTCAAAAAATTTCAATTTTAGTTTGCACTTGAAATCGGGTACGAACTTATGCCCTCATCCAATATATTAGAGAAATAAAACACTAATTAACTAATAATAATTTATAATAAATAATCGTTTAGTTTTCTGTATTTAGAAATATTATCATTTTGTTTAGGCTGAAATTATTGAAAACAATTAACTTAAATTCAGAGAAAAAAATCAAATAACATAACTAAATAATATATTGTAATTATGAGCGAAAACATATTTAGCGCGAACGATTCGTCACCGCCTACCCGCTTGCAGGTTAACAGCGTTAACAAATCGATTAATTTATTACTGACACAAATAAAAAATCAATCCAGTTACAAAGAGTACTTTACACAAGTGAAGAAGAATTTAAAATCACTTTTTTCAATTACTGTTTTTCTTTCATCCACATTGTGGCGCCACCAAACTCATCACCAAAAAAGAATGTTCTATTTGTGCATGCTTATTTGGGATCAAAAGTCAATGCAACATGCAGGCATTCTGTTGTTACATAATTGCTTATTGAAAAAGCTTCGATTTTATTTTGTGCACAATTTTATTTTATTTTCGTTTTATGTTTTTCGCTCAATAATAAAAATTGCGACTGCTCTAGTATGCGTTTAAAAAACTATGCATACATCACACGTACATGTTGGGGAATATATTTTTTCATTCCATTTTCCAATATTGCCGCTCTGCACTAAATTATAGTCGATATTTAATATTGCTTTTGTTCTATAGCACACGCGATTCTTGCGGCACGTAAAACAATGTAAAAATGTGCGTAGCTTTTTTTTTTTTTAGCAAAAAATTCAAAAATAAATTAAAAATT